CAGCAGCCAGGGCAGGCGCGGCGCGTAGCCCGCCATGCGGCCGGCACGGCACCCGAGGAGCTGCTGCGGCTGTAGGTCCCCGCCGCGCCGGTCTGCAGTGAAAGGAGGAGGCACCTCCGAGCCGCCGCCGCCGCCCATGGGCCGGCGGCCGGGAACCCGCGGCCGCTCGGGCCCGGCCCGGCCTGCGGCGCGCTGATAAGGCTGCGGCTGTCGGCCTCCTCCCGGCCGCCCCGGCCAGCGCCCTCTGCCGCCGCCCGGTTCGGAGGAGGGACGGGAGGGGACCCGGGCCTGCCGAAATGGCGCTCGAGAAGACTGAGAGGGGRTCTCATTGATGCATATCATTGTCCCAAGGCAGATGCCAACGGCATGGTGCCRGACTCTCTTCAGTGGTGCCCTGCGAGGGAGCGAGGAGCAGTGGCCGTAAATGAAAGCGTTACAAGTTCCACCTCAACATGAGRAAGAACTTTACGTTGAAGGTGGCAGAGCACTGGAACAGGCTGGCCAAGGAGGTCTTGGATTTTCACTGTCTGGAGACATTAAAAACCTACCTGGACACATTCCTGTATCACCTGTCGAGGTGACCCTGCTCTGCCATAGGGTTGTACTGGAGGTCCCTTCCAACCTTAACCAGTCTGATTCTGCTCTGGCCAGTGACAGCAGAGACCCGCCTGGACAGGAGCTGTCCTGGCAGCCAATCCAGGGAGAAGAAAGCAGGAGCTTGCCCCCCCCAAGGCCTGCATGGGTGACACCAGAAGTAGCCATCTCGGACTCGGCACCGGATCTTGCTGGCCTGTGCTCGTGGGTGTAGTCTTAGTTCAAACAAGGGATAATCTCTGTGAAAAACGAGATTCACTTTCTTGTTAAAATTTAAAGGGTTTTAATAAATGACAATAGGGTACATAAAAGCAAAAGGATATGGCACTGGGTGCTTGGGGATCTGCCAGAGGCACGCCTGCTATTGATAGGAGACATCTTTAAATACATTTCGTATTGGATCAGCTTAATGCCTATTCATAGGCATTTATGCATATTCAAACTTTTCTAGGGGCTGTTTAGCATGGGACCTCCTCCGGTGTAGCCCCCTGTTCCATGGTTTCAGTAGATGACAGTTGTTGATAGGGAAGTGTCTGTTGCAGGGGCCCCTGGGTTGTCCATGCAGATAAGCCCATCCGAGGGTTGGGGGTACCACCAGACAGGCTTCTCTGCACAGCAGAGGACGAACATTTCAAGACCTCCGACCAGAGACCTTTCACTACACATCTTAAAGCCTCTGTTCCTTSCACCCCCACCCTTCCRCTGTCAGGRTCTGTGCTRGCCTGGCCATTGATAGCCCTGGGTCGATGGCCTTCCCACCCCGAAGGTGCTAAGCATCCTTGTGAATGTATGCATTCTTTTCCCCAGCTCTGAGCTGCTTATCTTTAAGGACCATTGCCATCAGGGCCTCACTCAGGGATTTTTTGCAGCTTTTGTATAGGTTTGCTATAATATATAAAAAAACCCATAATTAAACTTCTTCTACAAATAAGACAATATTATATCATGATGTGCAACACATAGCATCTACCTTTAATCTCTGCAACAACTAACACTACAATACGTGTTTAACACACACATAGCACTCATCTTAACATTTGTGAAAGCCAACACTATAATATGTGTTTATAACAATCTCCATGCAGAGGAGAGCTGTCTTTCAGGAACATCATGTGCCTGATCCCTTATTCAGGCTGGTGTCTACGGGATGTATATGGCCTTATGTGCCCATGCTCAGGCTAGAGCCTACAGGATTAGGACTAATGGGTTCAAACAGAAAGAGGGGAAATTTAGGATAGATATTAGGAAGACATTCTTTACTTTGAGGRTGGTGAGGTATTGCAACAGGTTACCAGAGAAGTTCTGGATGCCCCATCCCTGGAAGTGTTTAAGACTAATTGAGATGGTGCTCTGGTCCAGTGGGAGGTGTCCCTACTATGGCAGGGGGGTTAGGATTAAATTATTTTTAAGGTCCCTTCCTACCCCTTTAAATTACTATTTTATTCACATATCACTGCTCAGGAGGACCATTTTACAAGCAATCTCCTACCCCAAACCTGATTTAAGAAAAGGAAAGGAGGCATGGCTTTCCTGAGAACACACAGTACCAGCAGCCATAGCAGGAAATGAAAACTGTCCTGTTTTTCCTACTGGAGTGCCCAGGGATACCTATACTTCAATTTTAAATTTTTGGGTCAAGCTCCTGTATAAATTAGTTAGCATCAGTTTGTGAGACTAGGTTTGCCAGAAATAAGTAAAATTGTATCAAAAGATCAGGAGAAAACATGAAGTCTTTTACTACTGGATATTATACAGCTGAATTCCCAGTATTTAGGGAAATTGAGGTGTTAGCATGCCCAGCGACAGTGCTGAAGGATGAAGCATCATCCTGAGAAAACCASCAGAGCAGTTTCTCTTGCTATTTGAGTGAATTAGCATAAACCTCCCTTGATACTTGAGGGAATTGGCATAAACCTTCCTTGCAGTAGGCCTGCGGTGCAAGGGCAGCAGCACAGCAGCCTCGCCCCAGTACCTGGGTTTTGTCCTTTCCAACACCCAGCCTCCCTGCCCTCTCTATTGTTGCTCTTAGGTGGTGCTAGGAGGATATGGTGTATATACTGTATTTTAATCACAGAATAGGCCCGATTGGAACTGACCACAGGGGGTCATCTGTCCAAGGTCCCTGCTCGAGCAGGGTCATCCTAGAGCACATAGCACAGGATTGTATCCAGGTGGTCTTGAATAGCTCCAGTGAGGCAAACTCCACAACCTCTCCGGATAATCTGTTCCTGTGCTTGATCCCCTGCACAGTAAAGAGATTCCTCATATCCAGGTGGAACTTCCTGTGCATCAGTTTCTGCCCGTTGCCTCTTGTCCTTCTGCTTGGCATCACGAAGAGCCTSGCTTCTTCGTCTTGACAYCCACCCTTTAGATATTTATATAAATTCATGAGGTCCTTTCTCAGTCGTCTGTTCCATCGAAATCCCGTGCCCGTTCCCCAGCGCCTGGAGGGGCCTCAGGGAAGGCAAGCTGGTGGGATCGCGTCGCGCCGGGGCCCGGAGGCCGCCAGGGGGCAGGGCTGGGCCCGCGCCGGGCGCGTTTTGGCGCCGCTTCCCCGCGCAGAGCAGCCGGGGGATCTTCGGCGCTGCCCAGGGCTGTCCGCGGAACCGAGGCGCGACCAATCGATCCCTCGGAGAGAGCGGGACGRGCGGGAGAACGGGCAGCGATGTGTGGCACCCGAACTGTGCTCGCCCCGTGCCCGGGTTTAGAGTGATTTTTTGGGTCATTCTCTCCCGTTGGAAAAGGAAGCGCAGCGCGTGGCCGCTTCCCGCGGGCCGAGAGAGGACCCAGGCAGCGTCTTTCGGCGGGCTCGCCCCGACCAAACCCTTGTTCCCGSAACAGAGGGGCGGAATCTGGTTTGCGAAAGACCTCTGCGATCATCAAGTCCAACACAGCATGTCAGCTAGACCATGGCACTCAGTTGCGACGTCCAGTCTTTCCTTAAACACCTCCAGGGGTGGTGACTCCACCACCCCCCTGGGTAACCCATTCCAGTGTCTAATCACCCTTTCYGTGAAGAAATTCCACCTAATGTCCAACCTCTCATGGCCYAGCTTAAGACTGTGTCCTTTTGTCCTGTCGCTGGTGATGTGGGAGAAGAGGCCGACTCCCACCTGCAAGGAGGTTGTAGAGAGCAATAAGGTCACACCTGAGCCTCATCTACACTAAACAACCTAGTTTYGGAAAACACTAGTACATAAAACTGCTGGTGTAGTTCTGGGGCAACACWACACAAGGCTGTAAAAGGGGGAAGCACCCAGTTATATAGTATATTTTAGTGAGAGCAGTGGYTAGTTGACCCTGTTGTGGTCTGAGGCTGCTGCAGCCTGTGTGCCATGGTGCACCCCAGCGGCCCACACTGTCCCGCACTCCAGCCCCAGGGTGGCTGCTCCCCATTTCCACGGTCTGGGGATTAACTGGGGTCTGGGAGACAGGACAAAGCAAACTTCAAACTTGGGTGCCATACCAAAGGCCAGGGTCTTGCCAAACCTGCCACAGTACTGGACTGCAAGAAGGGCGAACCTAGGAAAGGTTGCAGGGATGAGAGTTTATGTCTTGCAGTGAAGCTTCAGGTACTGTAGGCTGTCCTGCCAAACYTGTGCTGTCCCTAGGTTATGTGACTGAGTATATGAAAGCTGCTGGGATTACATGTTGTAGATTAAAGTGCAAACATGAAATTTCTATTGAGTTATTGCACRATACTGAAATAGTTTTGTAGCCTGTCTGCATCTTCAAGGAGTAAAAAAACAGGCACTTCAGGACAAAAGTCTTTGCACTGAGTAAAACAAGCAGTAAAAAAGCAACAGAGCATTGCAATCCCATAATACACGTTCTAAGTACCATTTAAAGGAAAATGAAACATCTTCCATTGTGAAATTAAACCTGATTGAAGCATACAGTTCCCACTGGCATACACGAGCAGTGGGGTGTGCGGGGTGGGGTTCTGGCATCTCTGCATGCAGAGGTCACTGAGSTTTGTGATCTCTCTGTGCAATAAAACAATCCATGGGGACACAGTGCTTCAGAAAGGCAGGTTCCCAGCACTTGTGTCTGTCCTATGCTGGCTGCAGGATGCTGGAGAACACAGGATGTTTTCTCTTGAGAGACTTTGGAGAAGTGAGAATTATGGATAAATAATTATATAAATTCATGAGGTCCTTTCTCAGTCGTCTGTTCCATCGAAATCCCGTGCCCGTTCCCCAGCGCCTGGAGGGGCCTCAGGGAAGGCAAGCTGGTGGGATCGCGTCGTGCCGGGGCCCGGAGGCCGCCAGGGGGCAGGGCTGGGCCCGCGCCGGGCGCGTTTTGGCGCCGCTTTTTTAAAAAGAAAAGAGAAAGCCAAGCACCCCCTACCTCTTCCAGGACAAGGACATCTGCCTGGCAAAGGCATGAGAAAGTTTAGATGCAGCAGAGCTTTATACTCCTGTTTGGTTTAGACTTTGTTTCTGGATTAAAATAATAATATGTAAAAACACAACCTACTCCAAACTCACAGATGGTTATAAAGTCATTCTAAATGGTCATGAAATATTTGCACTAGTGAAGTGGAGTTGCCAGGAGGGAAGAGAGTTCCTAAAATTATGGCTATTCTTTTCTGGTATGTTTACCACATGGAGATTACTCTGCTATTGCCTTAAGCAAAAATGGCAAAAAGCAACAGCAGTCCTGCACATGTCTCCAGCTAAGCTGATCACCAATTAAAGAAAAAAGACAAAACAAAAAAAACCCCACAAAATGCAAAACATGCCTTGCTTGAACTCCAGTAATGGGCAGAAGTTGTGATGTGTTAACCCAAAATACTATGAAGTCACATGTGCACTCACAACTCCAGTCCCCGGGAGCGAATGTTTAGGGCTTGGCAGATTCCTGGTGTTGAAGTACATGCAGCTCCAGAAGGATTTGTGCTGGTTCTAAAGGGCAAGTTGTCAGTACATGAGTTTTGCTGTGCTTTTCTGGATGCCTGACAAATGCCCATTCTCCACATGCTGTTGGCACTAGTTTATCTGGAGTTGTCTTACGTGTGACCCGAGTTTATCACCGCAGTAGCACACAGCAGTTCCTGCCCTTATTTGCCCTGTTCCTCTCCATGAGCTACAAAGCATYGGTAGCTGTTGCAAAGCCAGGCACAGGGCGGGCCTAAGGCAGACATCAGAGACCAGAGGTTCTATCACTGCTGTACAGAGAACAAGAAACACCTTCTGGCAGCATGGTTTGTTATTTAGCAGCTTCTTCCCTTTAGTRTCCCACCTACCTTGGATCACTTCCAAGAGCTTCCCAAGACTCATGTGCAATCCAGCCTTTGGATATTTCAGCAGGACTGTTGCTGTATCTCTGAATAAACTACAGCACTCGCTGCTGTCTAGGTAGCCCACTTGTCTAAGTGTAAAAATGGAGTTATGATCTGGCACCTTCCAAATTAGGGGCAGAGGGTTCAAGATATTCCTGAATGTCCCAAAGAATATCCCAGGATCAAGGGTTTCTTTAGATGGAAACGGGCAATTCAGTCTGCTGCAACCTATCTCTGTTAAACAAACCAACAAAAAAAAGGCAAATAAAAAAACCAAACAGACCAAAAAAACAGCAAACAAGAAATACCCAACCCAAACCCCAGGCTTGATATTCATAGACCATTTACGAGGATGATCATTTCAACAAGCTGCCTGCCAACCCCACTGCTGTCCTACCAGGGCTGCTGGAGCCAGTGTTGATGAATCATGTACAGCAGTGTGAACAGAAGCATCCCTACCCAGTGGAGCAAAGAAGTGATAGCAAAGAAATAGAACTGGATACCATCATGATCCTGGTCTTGTGCCCTGGCATTCATAGCTACTGAGCTGCCTCCCATCCAATTCTCTTCAGAGCTGGGATAGCAATGCCAACAYATCTCCTCCCTTTGACAGCCTGGTAGAGGGATTTGGATGGAGTTACTTCCTCCTGTTCTCTAAGTGTTAGAGGAGCACTGCCCATGTGCTTCTATACTGCTACAGCACAAAACACTATAAAGCCCTGTTCTTTGACAACCCCCCATCTGTATATGCTAAAATATCAGGCTTATCATAAACAGAAGACTGCAACTTCACTGAAGAACACACACTTGTGCAAAGACAAGACAGTTTTATCCTAAAAGAAACTGCAAAGATCTGGACTAAGTAAGACAGCAGAGCTATTGATAAAGCAGGCTCCTGAAATTGTCTCCTTCCCCTAACCCTCCTCTTAATCCAAGAGTAACACTAATATATAATAATAAGAAATAACTTCTACAGTTACCTTGTTCAACGACTTCCCAGTCCCAAGAGACTGTTTCTTCAGGATAACACACATTAGATATAACATCTTGTCTTCAACCACGCACTTAGAATGTACCACCTTCTCCATTCACCTGCAGCTCAGTGCTGCTGTGTAAATGTCCACGAAACAGAAAGSCACACTGAGGTTTAAAACTGTTAAAAAGATTACCGGTCCAGAGGAAAATTTTATCAGTATTTTGTACTTGAAGTACACTGAGCATGGTGAACATTGGTGAGTTATTTCAGTCGGTTTGGACTCCCATCCAGTACTTTTTTAAAAAAAACAAAGACATAGTTGGTGTGCAGCATGCCAGGATAGTCTTTGGCAAGGACATCCAGGCAGTTAATTTAACTGTCACATCAGTGCCTTGTAATGGTACAGTTTTAGAGCCTGGCCTACCATAAGCAACTAGACACCACTCAGAAGAAAAGCCATTTCAGGACTTTGTTCAAGAACCCATAGAGCCCAGAGGTCTAACAAAAGGCAGCAAGTATTGAAACAAGATTAGCAACATGGCTTGAAGTCCTTTTTATTTTTCTTGGCAAATCTGAAGGACCTGTTAATGGAAATACCACTTCCGTAAAATATGTTTAAACTCAAAAACACTTGTAAGAGACAGTCTTGACAAAGTGACCAGAATGAGGAAGAATAGGATGAACTTTACCATTTGAGTAAGTAAAACATTTAGACTGAACAGTGTGACTGCACACTKCTTGGGGGATGGTGGTGGTAAAAGCAAGAAGGGCAACTTTAGCATAGACCTGTGAATGGGCGTAGCAATTTATTACAGCAAATATCCTTTCCATTCATCAGTATTCAATGACTAAGCATGGACTTTTACCTTAGCTATTTCTATATATTTTTTTTCCTATGGCCTGGGCTACCTGACACCCTGGAAGGGTGTTTTGCTTTTCATTGTCTTTATCCATTCAAGAGGTTAGAGGACAAAATTATCAGAAAACAAATATCAACACCCCCCTCCCCCCCCCATGAAATCATTGTGTACAACTTGTTGCTGCAGCAGACTGTGGTGGCTGCAAGTATAGCTGATTAATAAAAGAGATGAGACTATTTTAGATGAAACTAAATCTACCAGCAACTACTAAAGACACATGGCCTTCAATGCCAGGCATCTAGTATAACAAACCCCAAACCCCAGTAACTGTGAGAAGACTGAACTGTGTCAACCATGGAGGACCGCTGTCTGTATATCCCCTTTTTTAAGTATCTTCTAACAGCCATTGGCTGGTACCATGCAGTGCCTGGTGCCCCATGCATCGTCCAGGAGGCACACAAAGTGAAAAAAGTTTTGCAGAGGAAGGAGGACCCAGCCGTGTGACTGAGAACTGTTACACATGGACACACAAACTGCAATATCCTACTACTATGTTTACTAACGTTTGAGTGCTTAACTATGTCAACTTAAATGCTTTCATGGCTTTTAAAATATATTTGAACTAGAAAGGAAATGGTCCATGCAAACACACTTATTTCTGAACTTGGTAGCTAATAAAGGCTACAGTCCAAATTTTGCTAGACTTAATGGTATTCCTTCCTTATACTTTCCTCCCAATTCTGCCTTAATATCCAGCCTGTCAATCAACTGCAGACATTTTTATAGTCTAGATTATTTCCTGACTTCTTTCCTTCAAAGAACACCAAAAGCTCTCCACACAGTACATAGTAGGTTATAGTTTGAAACTCATACTTAGTGGCTGTTTTTCCAACAATTCAGGAATCAGTTTTACATCTTTTAGCCTATGTACATATAACAGGATTCGCTTCTGAGTCTCTTTACTCTTGCCACTTCTATATGCAAAATACTTCAGAGCACCTCAAGTAATAAAAAGCCCAATTTTGCTGTTGAAATAAGATGTTAATGGGAAACTGTTCTTTACCCATCTTGTTCCTTATTTCCGACCCCTGCTCTCTCCCCCTCCCTCCTCCCCTTCCCTTCCTTTCCTTCCTCCCCTGCCTTTGGTTTCTGTTTGCTCTACTTCAGGACCAAAACTCCAGCTGCTCTAAATCTAAACACTGCTCAGGACATATGGCAACAAACAGCAAAATGTGTTCCAGTGAGCAGTGGTGGGCCATATCCTTCCTAGGTATTCACAGGCATGCAGCCAAAACAGTAATTTCACAATGAAATCTTTGGACTAGACTCTACAGAATCGAGMAAAAGCACTCAAAACAACTAGAGAGATTACTGTAGGTTGAAGAACACCATGTGTTTGGTCTGGTGAGCGATATTGGCTCAACAGAGCTGAAGGACATCTCTCTATAAACGTGCTTAGCACAAAGCATGAGCAACACAACCATCTTCCATACATTTTTCTTCAACAAGGCCAATCCTGGTCTGGGACTGTTAAGCTGCTTCACATTTTTAACATGCAGCCRTCAGAAGATCAGCAGGGCCATTCAACTTCAAGTGTACAGAGGGGTTTCTGGTACTCCCAGCACTGAGCTGCAGCACATGCTGGTGCTAATATCAGAAAGGTCAAACACGTTCCTGGTAAAATATTTTAAAGTTTACTATTGTGTAAATACACAATAAAATAAAATAAAAAGGCAATTGTGAGGTGTCATCTGAACTCTTAGAYTGTTTAGATGTTCTCAAGAGAATTTTCTCATGAAAATCCAGAAGGGCTGAAGGAATCTGAAGGGAATTATTATTTAATACCCACAGCCTGTCTAGAAGATATTTGCTTGAAAGAGGCATTTTAAAAGATCAAACCACAAAGTAAATACAGCACTGCAGAAGGAGACCTTTTAGTGCATAGTGTTAAGCTCAGGGGATACCTAGATCCTCCACATACATTTCAGCTGACCTACAAAGCTGTATCAATATCCCACTCCAAGACATGGCACATCAGCTCTGTGGAAAGCGAGTAGAGGGACATCATACAGCACCAAGTGACCAAGATGATCAGGTCCTCCAAATGAAAAGTGGGGTCTGGCTCAAGCACTGTAGGAGAAGCTTCTGCTCTCTTCTTCTCATASAAGTCAGAGCGAACTTCCCAGAAAGGGATCAAACAATTTTTGTTTTTCTTTTTAAACTAAATGCTTTTAATAGAAAACAAAATACAAAATAACTCTTWCCAGAAAGCAGAAATATTTAATCTCTCCAAACGACAAACTAGAACGTGCTTTCTCCGCAAATCCTTGTAAATGCTGATGATTTATCTCACAAAGCGTTCATGAAACCAGTATTGCAACATTTAAGAAAAATCCAACTCTGGCAGAGCTGCCTCTGTGTACACACAAAAATTTAGTAATACTATGTTTTGCCATGTCACTTTGTGTGTCTCTTCTCATCCCTCTCTCCCTAGATTGCCAACTTCCATTTACAGAAATATTTCTGTGAGGTGCACTGGTGGGTTGACATGCCCTGTTTCCATTAGGAATCCAAACTTGGCCACTTCCATTCTATGGTGCCCTCCATCCAGACAAGGCAAGTTGTTCATTACGCTTAAAGCCACCRCTCTGTCCCCACTGTCCTCCCATTCTCAAAACACAGTGCAACCAGAGTCAGAAAATTTCCTAATTAATGGAACATAAATACACATAATCACAGCTAGTACCAGGAACCAAACCCAAACAACAATGCAAAGATGGGCCCCAACTGAGGTCAGATTTCCATCCACTTACTAAAAAACAACAGTGGTATTTTCTACTTACTTAGTCCAAAATATTCCAGAAGAGCTATAGGGAGCTGAAATATTTAGGACTGCTATCACTGTAGAAAATACATAATTTTTTTTTAATAGAAGGGTCTTAAAAATGATGATCCTCTGCAATACCAGGAAAACAAAAGCAAAACAGAACAAAAACCACTGGGCCAGTAGTTCTCCACACACTCAAGCCGAATTAACAGTAGGTAAGATGTGCCCATCAATCAATGTGGGATATTTAAGTGCAGGTCAGCAGCTTATCTGGTGGGCAGTTTCACTYGCCTGGACCAGGCTTTCAGTTTCCCCAAGCTACTGGATTTACTCCCCTTTTTTCCCATTCCTACAAGTACAAAATTACAATGTGTATGTATTTTCATCTCTCCTCCTTTTTTTTTTCATTTTTCTGTTCAACAACACAGGCATTTTTGTGACATCTTAAAGCATTTGCATCACTCCGAATATGCCTTTCATGGGGGCAGATGAAGGAAAGTGTTTCACAGTCAGTAATCTCAGCTTGCAATGGACTCTGGCATTCAAGACACACACCCACTTCCCTAAGACAAAAAGCAAAATTAATGTTCCTGATTTTCTTGTGCAATTCCAGTCACTAGAAGAAGATTACAGGCCATAAACTGAACGCTCAGTACATTATTCATCTGTCCAGTATATACACCAACCAGTTCACTGGAAGATCCATCCGCTGGAGCGTTGCAGTAAGTGTTCCGAATGTCCCAGACTCGAACTGAATTGTCCATCGATGCTGAAGCAATTAAACTACTRTCAGGGCTAAAAGTAAGGCTGGTTATGTTGTCTGTGTGCCCCCTCAGTTCTTTGTAAAGAGTTCCTGATGCCAAGTCCCACAGTTTCAGCCGCTGGTCTTCACCTGCAGATGCCAGGTACTTACCATTGGGAGAAAATGCAAGTGCCAGCACAGGGCCCCGGTGCCCAGTAAAAAGCCGCACTGAGTTGCCCTGCTGCGTGCTCCACAGGCGCACGGTTTTGTCTGTGGAGCCCGTTGCTAAGTAGTTGGAATTGGGGTGGAACTTKACACAGTCCACATCTGCCAAATGGCCTGCATATATTCGCAGTGGGTACGTCCGATCAAACGACCAGAGCCTTGCAGTGCGATCGTGGGAACCGCTGGCAAAGTACAGGCTGCAGGGGCTAATATCCAAATCCCAGACAGGATAGGCATGTCCTTGGTACAACACAGTGTTTGTAAAACTTCTGAGGTCCCAGTATCTGATGGACATGTCCTCAGAACAAGATAAGATTCCTGAACTGTCTGAAAGAAACCTCGTGCTGTACACAGGTCCACAGTGTCCTCTCAGGATCTTCATTTCTGTGCCTGCACTGTCATCCTCTTCCTCCTGGTMATGAAGAATAAAAAGAGACAAAAAAGGAAAGCATGTTGATCCATTCAACAAATATATGAACCACTGCAAGGAAAACAGGGGGTTATTAATACATAAGTTACTTTAGACATGGCCCAGTTTGTGCAAATCTGAGACACCAACATTGCTGGTGCATTTGTTCYAAGTGAATACTGAAAGAGATGGTGAGGTAACACTTTCTATAAAGGCATTATYCTTATTTTTGGTAGCCCCATGTTCAATCCAGAAGGAATATTGAGACTGTAKGCAATGAGGGGAAAATGAGGGGRAAAAATATGTAGCAACATTTTCCCATTTGCTAAAAACATATGCATAGTTCTTATCCACAGTCTACTAAAAACATTCRGCTAAGATGTTGAAAAGAGATCTTGGCATCTACTCATTTCATGTGGTCATTGTTGGAAGTGAATCTCACAGTAGAGGGAAACAATCACAGAGGTCTTAAACAAAAGGCAGGAGATGGAAAGACAAAGCATATTTGACAAGTTGTCTGCTTAACATTCTTTCTTAACCCCGCATGTGAACAGAAACCTTGCAAGGCTCTACCATCTATTTCTCCCTGCAAGTTCCATCAGGATGCTTTCACATCCTCACCCTTCAAGAGCAGCCTTCAAGAATAGCAAATGTATGCAGCTTATTTAGGTCAATGTATCTGTTTTGGCGTAGGAGAAGATGAATTATCACAAAAAATGATGGCACTGGAAACTATTCTATCTCATTATTCTCCAGTTCAAGTATTAGGGCAGATAGTCAACAAATAAAGGCTTTTGTGTTTAAAGACTATTCAGTGAGCTGTGCTAAAGGAATCTCCCAATGGAAGGGAASAGTCTCTAAAAGTATACTCAAAGGCTACAGACTACACAGGTTTCAATAAATCTCAGAAGTGTCCTTGCCTGAGAAGCTGGGGTCTCACTGACTGCAAGATAAACCTGACTTGGGGTGCACCTGTGAAGTAGCTTGAGACTACCTTTTCTCAGGGCTGTCAGGCAGACACTTTTGCTCAGTACTGAACCAGTAACAGTCACAGATTCATGCACATAAAACTGAACATAACATTCCTTTGTGAGCAGCCCCTTTAACACTTATCATCTTGACCTGGCCTGTTTCCTGCAGAAGGAGCACTTCCTGCCCCGACAGGAAACCAAATTCCCTAGGGCTGCTGGACTGCTGACAACCAGCAGAAATTGGTGTATTGAAAGCTGCACTCTCGGCTGACACGCTATCTYCTAACCCTCTGACCTCAAGACCCACATATTGGCTTCAGACTTAGCAATAGTCCTGAAAGTGCTGCTCCTCCAGTGGTTTCAAATTTGGAGGTGAGCAAACTCCTTGGCTATTTCCTTGCCTTTCTCCATCTCAACAGCAAGTTACTTTGTAGGTAGCAAGCCGTATTTAACAATGCTTCTATTCAGAGTAGTCAGTGCCCATCGGAGGTTCATGATGTGGGGGAAGCCAACTTCATCTCTAAGGAGGTGAGACAGACAGTAACTGCAGGCTCTGGCATGCAAAGCCCCATTCTTATTCAAATTGCTTTTTCKACCTCTGACAGAGCATGGCTTAGTGGAATCCACAGCATCTCTAGGCTATGCTACCACATTAAAGGAGAACGGCCAATACCAGTAGCAGTTTATACTATTTAGTTATGACCATAAGATTCCTGACAAGTAACCAGTGAAAGCCTGTTAAAGCTATCTGTGTTGTACTACATTTTCTGCAAATTTCTCAAGTCCAGGCACTTAATTTTGTGCATTCAAATAAAGGCTACATGGGCTGTTTGCAAGCATCTCCTCTTCATTCTATTATAACAAATTTGACAATACCTTCTGCAGCATTGAAACCCACACTCCTATATGGTCACAGGTAGCAAATCTTATCTTTGACTTCTGTTTGACACCCACAGAGCATGACTGCATACACCTGTCACAGTTCACTGAAAACAGTACATCTATTATGCTATGTCACATTTTTCAGTTTCCTCCCTATGCAAATTAGTCTGCTGACCAGATTAACAAGCCAGCTGCAAGTGCAGCCACCAAGACTCAAAGAGCAACAATGATAGTCTCAAAGAAAAATAAAACAGACTCTCACATCCCTCCCTCTTTTTATTTCTAACCAGTAACAGGTTTTCCTGGGTGTCATCATCTCTCTCGTTCTGCAGTGCTCTTAAGATGACAAAAGGGAAGGTCTCTTACCTGGCTACAGTAGAGRTGGCTAGCAGGGAACAATGAGAAAGGATGACTCTCTTTGCAGGACATTTCTTACTGTTCTTCCAGAATTCGCTCCCATCTGCCATCAAACCCACTCACTACCACTTGATGTCAGCATCATCCCCACTCATTACGACTTGAAGGACCACGCCCACTTAAAAGCAAAATCTTCGAGATGTGGGAGGAGGGGGGGCTGGGGGCGGGGTGTCAAGTGTTAGTCTTTACAGGATTTAAAGGCTTGCACTAAGGTGGCTTGGAATACAGCATTATTTTCTGCTGTTGATTTATGGAGTTCCAGGGATGAGCATGGCAAAATTGCAAAGAGACAGACAATACATCCATTTGCACAACTACAAAACTCYGTTTTTATACTAGACTCCCCCAAAGAGAGACTATAAAGTGGCATTTGTGAGATGCTACTATAAAGAAAACAGAATTACTGTATCTCAAAATAGTAAGTCTCTCTTATTTGCAAGAAGCAAGACTACACTAGTGAAGAACACTGAGCAAAATTCACTACAACTATACCTAGAAAATGATTTTGACCTTAGTGACACAAAGGCTTCACATGGACTAGGAAAAAATATTGTTCTAACATGTTTGCTAAGTTTCAACCTCATTTATATATATATATATATATATATATATACACACACACCTCCTCACAAAAAGAATACACCCAACAGAGTAGCTTTAGTGACCCCCTGAACAACATCCACTGAAACTAGCATGATTTTAGACCTTTATAACTTATAAAAAGAAGGATCTATTTCCTTGCAGAAAATCAAAAACCAGGCTGAAGACAACTTATTTAATGCACCACTATTTAAATATGTTATCCAACTAATTATGCAATACAGAAGTAAACTAAACCAAAACATCCTCACAAGTTCTTCTACAGAACTCACAGAAGTAATGTCAAAGCACGTTTTTGTTCTTTGTCAAAGTTTTCRTCAGCTTTATCCCTGTGAATTGCTATTGATCAGACTGCAGTGACAGTCTGAAATACAGCCCCTCCTCACACMAAGCTGCACCCCATTCAAGGCTTGGTCTTGGTATCTTTGGCTTCCTCTCCCATGGCACCAAAGCAAGTRCTGGCCTGCTCCCACCTGCAACTCTGTGGGTGCCTGTGTATTTTCACTTAGGGCTCCCACATAACTGAATTTATTTCCTTGCAGTCAAGGGGCTTTCATTTGCATTTGGTAACCAACAGCGTGTTCAGGCTGGTAATTGGTATCCTCCCTCAAATTTGAACTCCTGCTTAGGTCACTATTGCTTTTGTCAGTGGTGGAAATTATTCAGGGCAACGACGACTTTGTTCTGTGCTAGTTTTTTGGCTTTAGACCTGTGCACAAAAACTGCAGGGTACAGAAAATATCAAATACCCACCACAAGCATTTGCATTCATGATTCCATGACTGCTTCCTAACACATGTACAATATGCAAGCCTGTGACTATGTGCCAAGCAAAGCTGATACACATACTCCTGACAACSTGGCAGTATCTTGCTTTTTTACAGTCCAGAGCCCAAGAAGGTGACCTGCTAATTTATCAGACAAATTCTCATGTTGCAGGTTACTGACATTTGGCTTCCATGATGGGCAATACACAGTCAAATGCCCCATGAACTCTTGCAGTTTATAATGAAAACAAGTCCATAGCTCCATTTTGGGCTAGTCTGAYCCACTCACCTGCTCACTCTGCAAAAAGGGTTAACCTGGGAGGCAGTGAACGTGCTGCTGTGCTGTCTCACCTTAATGCTTGCCTCTTTTCTCAAGCCGTGCAACACAGCAATCCTTAATCACAGATTCTTGAATACACCAAGCTCTCTGCACTGTTCCAAAATAAATAGAACCTTGCCAGTAAGCATTTTTAGAMGAAAAAACAGTGTCTCTCCTGTTAAATGCTCAATACAAGAACAAATGAGTTTTGTTCTTTTTTTTTATGAGAAGGGTGATGGAACAACGGAAGTGTCACAAATTTTGATCTCTAACCAGATATAAGTTTCTACTTGGGCAATTGTGTGGAGAGGGGAGAAAAGGCATGACTAGAAAGGAAAAAAAAAAGTCAAATAGAAGATGCCATCTAGCCTTGAATGTGAAGGCACACACATCCCTGTCCTTGTCTTCAGCACTCCAGAGTAAAATGCCTCTTAAGTTTCTACACTTCAGATTCCTTAACAGAGACATTTTCCTTAATTTTTTCATAACTCTTTACCTTTGGTCAATGGTGATGCCTGAAATAGTTTTGCATGTAGGCATCTGATCAGACTTCTTTAGCTCTTTCCTTACTTTGCATTTTCCTCTTGCTGTGTCTCTGTCCTTCTCTCCAACCCTCTGCCTCATTGTTCTGAGCTATGTTCCTTCTAGCTTTCATTTGGCACTTTTTTTTTACTGTCTGTATCTCCTTGTTTCATCTTCCCATCCCTAAGAAAGATCTGTGCTCCTCAGGGAAGGGATCCCACTCTAGTCACCTGTCCTTACTGGGCTTCCTGTCTAATGTCATCTGTTCAAGGACAGCTAGACAAGGGGGGTCAGCACCTAGGACTAACAAACTATGACCTGATCACAAAACCACCGCACCTCAGTGCAGCATTTACACCCACTGCAGGGAAGAACATGGATGACAGTAGGTTATGAAATCTGTGCATCAAGGCAGACAGGTTGTGCAACAGCCTTGCATTCCCTAAGACATTACTAGATACTCAACAACYCATGCTCAAAACAGATCAGCAGAAGGGGGAGAAGGGGGAAGAGAAGGGTGTCCAGACCTCCTCATCCAGGATGTCACAAGCCAAWCGGATACGGGACACATCAACAAGGTGGGGCTCAGATTTCAACTTCCTGGAGCGCAGACTCCACAGCTTCACACATGAATTATCAAACCCAGCAGCAAGCAGCTTGCTATTTGGTGAAATCTCTGCAGTGTTGAGCAACTGCTCTGTGTTATAGAAGGCATAGAAACAGATGGTAGTTAAGGAAGGGGGCCCGTCCTTGACACGTTTAATGCTGTCCTGCAGTAAATCCAGGGCTGCCTCATTYTGCAGAATGGAAGCTGGCATGTCACTGGGTTCCAGGCCGCTGCTCTCGTTGCGTGAAGAGCTCCCACCAGCATAGAGCTGGTAGTCAGTCCTCTTGGCAGGCTGCACATCCAGGTGAATGTGCAAGGTCAGGACTTTGCACAGGGCGTTGTTGTTGTCACTTTGGAGGTAGCGAAGAAGGTAGTTGTAGCTGTCCTCTTGAAGACGGATGACATACTTGTTGTCCAGAAAAGCCCGGAGCTTCAAGTTGGACAGGATATCTTGAATMGTCATGGTAGTCTGCAACTGTTCAATGATATCCTTCTGGCTGGCATTCTGCAAGAACATGCCATGGAAGCGGCTGTAAAAACTGTCCACTGTGCTTTTTAGGCCATTCTGGACCATGTTCAGATGGAGGTAGACGAAGAGGGGATATAGAAGAGGCATCACTTCATGGCTGTGCTGAGAATCTGAATCTATAAAAAAACAACAAACTGAATGATTTCTCATTCCACTTTCTACTAGGAATAAAACAGAGCAAGGATGATTACTGAAAAAGCCTTGACAAGTGACATCAGAAAGCAAGCAAAAGGAGACTTTTGCTGGCACATCTAAATGAACCTYTTCTGTCACCTAAAGGAGGTACAGTACCTATTAGAGACTTGAAAAGAGATTGCCACATCAGTGAGGTACCTTGCCAGAACAAAATGCAGAAATTTCAAAACCCTTTTTATGTGTGGGGCAGCTAATAATAGACCACCTCCTAAACTATATGAATTGAATTTGAATTYCAATTGAAGTTGAATTTTTCCCATTTACTTCAGAAGAAAGAGTATGCCCTTTGTTTATTGTGATAAATGAATGTTAAWTTTTTTTTATTAAACACTTAAATAGCATTTTAAATATAAGTCAAAATTATTTACCTGGCTTGTCTAGGCCTGAGCTTTGGTGGCTTTTATTCTCTCAGCTTCAAACGTGTGTGTGGTACTTTAGATGGAACTGATTTGTCTTCAGGAACTGATTTGTCTTCAGGGGAAAGGAAGCTAGTTTCCAAAATGTACTGCAATATGCTGTGCTCTTGTTTTATTTCTGTGCCTGCTTATGTACAAACTTTTCTCTCTCTGCCAAGGCAAATCTCAGCAGCAATTCCTAGTACACAGCGTAACAAACCCAGATTAGGCTGTGCTGTACCTTGCAGAGGCTGATCTGTGCAACAGCTCCACCCCTCCTTCCACAGCTTCTTGGGGCTGTTTGCCAGCTGCAGGGAACTGTAAGGAGCCGAGCCCTGCACAACACCATGGCAACAAACAGASCCACAATGGGTTACTATCAGGGGACCAAATGGTCCAAATTACTGGAAAACAAATAGGCACTACTGATACTCAAACATTTGCTGATCCTCAAAATGCAAAAGGCATTGCTGCTTTTCAACATTTCAGCTCTTGTTCTTCCCACTCACTAATGCATTTTCTCTTTTCTCCCTTCCCATTAGGTTATCTTCCCTAAAAGAGTGTTGAGCACTCTTCCAAACTTTCTCTAGTCCATACTGTGCCTCTCTCTCATTTCTATAAAAGTAACTACACCTTAGTGTAGTATGTGTGGTGTGCAGTGCATACATATATATTTGCATACTTAAGCACCACTCTCCTTCCTGTCCCACTGGGCCAAAGTCAGTGAAAATGGTGATCTGCATGTATTAAAAGCGGTAAGTAGTCAGCAGGTCTCTTTTCTCTCCAGGTACACTAGTCCAAAAATGCAACAAGAGGAAGGCCCTCACTTTGCAGTGTGGGAAAAGGGAAGAGATAGGAAGTTGACAGAAACAGGAATAAAGAAAACGTTCCCTAGGAACATATGAAGAGGTTACAGGAGCTGTGTCTGTCTAGCCTGCAGAATAAAGGGGCATTCAACTGCTCGCCTTCAGCACCCAGTGGGACATTACACAGGACAAGGAGCCAACCTCTTTCTCAGAGGTGCTCAGTGAAAGGACAACGGACAAGCTGCTGCAAGGGAAATTCTCACTGAATTGCAGCAGGGTCCCAGAGACGCATAGCAATCTCCAGAGCCTTTGATTTTCTAAACCTGACTAAAGAAGTCTCTGAGCCTTTTCAACCTGATAAAAAACCCACCTTGCCCTGCTTTGAGCAGGTGGTTGAACTAGAGCCTAGTTAAGTTATTCCGTGTCACTAATCCCCTGCCCATTCCTCAGTGGGGCAGGCATCCCAGAAATGGGAACTGTCTTGCTGTGCCTTGTGGCTGGCTGGCAAGCTATTCCTTTGAACAAACACAAGTAGTTCCTGTGTGCAAGATACCAGACTAAAGCAAGAGAGACAAAAAAGATTAAATTAGTCAACTTGACCACCAAAACCTAGCACTTCACCAAGMAATTAAGCCACTGAACAGAGTTATCATACTTCCCAAAAATCTGTAAGGATTCACCTCGAATACTAAAGCACAAAGGTACTGAACTGCTGTACATGGCAAGGCTCCAAGAATTCACTATTTTCTGTGTCTGCCTTCCTGTCTGCTCCCTTCTCTTCCCCTCAAAAACTATCAGAAATATTAATCCTGATGTTATGCACACTGGGATCAAATGTTCTATGGGACAACTTCACTTTCCTTGGTACCATTCTCTAAAAATTCTACCTCCTTTCTTCTTCCTATGTTGTGTACTTATAGCAGAAATAAGGACATTCCCAGGAATATATTTTTAAAAATTATTGAATTATTATTTTTTAAAAAATAAAGTTATTGTCTTCTGCTTCATTACTAAGATTTTTTTTACTTCATTATATTGCTCARCTCTCAAAGCCAGTATAGCTAAATTTACAGGAACAGATTCTCYCTTAAGAATCTAGACCATGATAAAAATAAGCCCATTATGGATAAAATTGAAAACCTTAAACTAGGAGACAACAGAGAACTACAGTAATTTCTCAGTTACCTGCCTTTCACATAAAACACTGTTTTTCCTTCCTGTCCTGTGTGAATACACTGTTGTCTAGAAGATCTACAAAGGCCAAATGCTTGTGCAAGAAAGGACAATCAGCCATCTATAAAATTCAAAGCTATTCAGCACACAGACAACAACCAAAAAAGAASAATTTTTATATTTTAACTGAAATCTCAAAACCAGAAATCAGAAGATTCTTAGGGACATGATTCTGAATTTTATTATATTGTCCTTTACTCACTGAAATGACCAAAAAAAGTCAGCTACTTTCTTCTTCCTTGCTTCCTGATATTTACCTGTGAGAAAATTGCGCAATCGTCCGAACTGTACTTCATATTGCTGTGGCTCTGCCAGGCAGGGAGCTGCAGAAACAACGTTGGCACAACCAGACTCAGATTGGACTGTGAAATAAAAGAAGCAAAAATTAAATGGGGATTTAAGGATTTTTATATGTGTGTTTGAAAACAAAGCTTCTCATAAAATCCAATGTATGCAGCCACTCAGCCGACATTTCATCTTTCAAACCATCCAGGTATGACATAGTCCAGAGCATCTAAATGTGACATTAACCACCTAGACAGATTATGAATGAGGAAGCCAAAACCCACCCTACAAATCTCAGCAACTCACCTGCTCCAGCCAGAACACACTTTAAAGTTTTCAAATACAACCTTAAGTTCCCAAGAAATTCAGAGTAATACCACCACAGACCCTTAAAAGTTTTACAACTATGGTTTTACAACTTTACACTCAGAAAAGATTAGAAAAGCAATCTACAACTTTCTCCAAAATATAGTTTCTTTTTTAGTGAGTCCCCATCAACCATCATGAACAGGTCTAGTGACACTACAGATTCTCAAATTTCTCATCCCAGTGCAATAATTACAACAAATTATAATCATTTACTAAGTCTCACAGAGGTGGTGGTGAAAACACYGAATCTCTAAGCAAACACTTAGTGGTTTTTAACCAAAACGTGTCCTCCTCCCTGAGTATTTTGGGTACCTGGCAACTGACCACAGATCCAGATGTTATAGCTTCCTCAGATTGTGTTAAATTGCTTTTCAGAACCAGACTCTGGTAAAAGTGGGTCTGAACTATTTAGAGAGCGAATTGGCTTCTCTTTCTCTGGCTCCAAACCTTTCCTGTTCTGCTAACCATCTGGAATCTGACAGGGGACTTTGTGCAAGTTTACAGACATGCATCAACATACCCCAAGCATATGCAAATACCAACGATTAGAAACACAAGTTCTGCTGCTCTAAACAGAGCTCAAGAAGGCAACGAGTGTCACTGTTTTCCTATTTTTTTTTTTTCAAATCTTAACTCTTGTCCCTCTAAACCCCTATTTTTATTACTTTCACTTTAATTGCTTTCAGTCTCCCCTGGCCTGCACCACTTTTCATCCTCTGCCTTTCTACTCCTGATTGATTCGGGGGAAATTTTGCTCCAGCATTTGGTTCATGCACAGAGGCTCAAGTCTGACAGCCCTGGAAGTCTATAAACAAATGTTCACATGCTGAAGAGAGATAGGTCAGCCCCCAGCTCATCTCATTGCTTCTAGTTAGAAAGAGATCACGGTACACAGCCTGTCACTATTCTTCCCCCACTCCTCTGTCTCTCTCTCAGTAGTAAGACACAGGTCTATCTTCCTTCAGTTATGTAAATACAGTAGGTGTGTTTGGCAAGCTGAATTCAGCTTTTGAAACAGAGACGGGTTGTGCTCATCATCCCCTCTTGGGAAAAATCGTGATAGCAGCACTAACACCATATCATCTCTTAAATCAGTTTAGATATAAACAAATACAATTTGCTGAAAGGCACAGCTACACTGACCTTTCTACAGCCTGGCTATTTCAGAAACTCAAAGATGGTAAAAACTCCCAGCTCATATGCTGGTACTACTCAGCAGCTAAATTAAAAAGCCCTGCTATTTGGATGTAAAATTTAATATAATCAATATTCAGCATGAGAAAGTAAACTGCATTTATGCACATATAGTAACTCGAGAATGCTTAGTGACAGTTTCCAATGTCACCCATACTACTCACTGTAAAAGCAAAGAAATACAGAAATATGAGGGCCTGTCTTTWATGCTGTGTCACAGGATTACACATAACAGTCAACTCTTCACAGAGATCTGACGGTCTCACTTCTGCAGGAATGGGAATGTCTTACCACCTTGCTCATGCCATGCAAGCACAACTCATTGGCCTGGGCTTTATGAAATGTTTCCTCCATGCCGCAATGTCTTCTGCATAAGCAACTGAATTCCAAAATGAAGGTGTATTTCATGCTTCAGAAAGCAGAATATCATCTGTCTACCTGTCCTGAAACAGTCTGACTGGGCAACCATTATGGCCTACTCTTCCAGTAACGATGATAGAGCTCATTTCCTTCCAGCAAATGGTAAATGAACCCTACATATCAGACAGTTAACGAATTAAATTYTAATTCTTTGCCTTCCCAAAACTTAAACCAACAAGAACTCCAACAAGGGTCAAGAAATCAACTGATTCCAAAAGAAGAGTWAAATTTCATGCACATTTCCTACCTGGTAGAAATAAAATACTGGCAATAGCTTTCTCATAYATAAAAAAAWTTACATAGTTTTCCTCCTACCCTAGTGATCATAAGAACATCTATTGGAATTATCTGCTCCTTTGTATCTCGAAAATGCAGCCAACTACGTAACCTGATAGGAAATTCAAAGGAACTCACTCCTAACTCAGAGATATGGACAGTATCCTCCTGGGCTCGTGTGTTGGCTACCAGCAGTATTGCTTCCAGCTAACAAATGTGAGGCTGCTGTAAATGCTATATAACAGCACCTGATTCCTCTTCTATGTGAGTGTARTGATGGATACTTTCACACTATTTCAGATAGTTCTRTGTGCTAACAGTGCTATGGGGAACATTAGAGTAACCTGTTCCTTGGTTACTCATTCTGTCCTCAGGTATTATTGTTGTTTTCTACAGAAATATGGAATAAAGGAAACTCTGTGCTGTATTCTACTGCAGATAAAATTGGACACAATCCTAGATAATCTCATCTGGGCTCCCTCTCCCACAGAACAGGTGGGACTAGATCATCTTCTGAGGACCCCTCCAAGTCTCCCATTCACACAGACTAGTTAATTTAAAAGTGTTGTGTTCTCAAAAGAGAACACAAAAAGTAAGGTGAGTTTTGCTAAGGAAAAAGCAAAAACATCTTCAGAAAAACATATTTGATCACTTTCCCCAAAATAAAGCTACATAGGCTTTACAACATGCTCAGTTTTCAGTTCACAAAACTAAGATGACTGCAACAGAAAGTATTTTCAGCATCTGATGTCAGATTCAGTAACAAGCTCAGTTTTGCTTTTTCAACACTCATTGATGAACCTGCAGCATGCTCACTGACAGCTCATTGTGAGCATGTTTGACAAGAAGTAGTAAGCAGCTGAACATGAGAGCAGACTATTTACAGTCCTAGTGAAAACTGATGACTAAATTCTGAATCACCATCCATAAAACCCATGCACTGACAAGAGAATATAGACTAATATGAAATTTAGTAATAATAACATTTGGTAGATGATTAGTAAAAAAAGAATACAAAACCCAATCACATCCTTCCATACTTTATGGAAGTATTTTTTTTTTCTGTATGAGGCCACATGCTCATGCAAGGGCTTGTAACCCAGTTCATCTCTGCTATTTCAGACACTTCTTTGTCCTCCTCATATAGTTGGTATCACATGCTAAGCCCATTTTGACACTGACCTTCCTACCTACTTCTCACATAAAAGCTCCCACTGAAAAACAATTCAGCATTTACTTTGGTTTCATTCTTTCCTCATCTTCCCCAGTTAACAATAGTAAAATACTCTAAAGGTGGAAAAAGCTGYTCTGCCATCCAATCATATCTAGCCACAAGCATAAAGTTATGTACCTACTAATATTTTGTCAAATCAAGTTGTATTGCAAGTAACTCAAGTTTCCACCACTCCACTTAGCCTGGGATACTCTCATAATCTAAGCAGTTCCATTAACAGAAATAATTTTCTCGCTTTTTTACCCAAAAGGTCAGCCCGGTATTTTCTATTACTTTTACAAGTAAATTTAATCTCAATAACATCCACATTGCTTTTATCCTTCCAATACGTGTATGTGCTCAAGCAGCAGCACAGTTTGTTGTAACAAAATAATTACAATGAAAACTGTCACAGACACAATGTGGAAAGCAAGCATTTTGGCAGGATKTAGAAGTCTGTAAGAAAGAGAAGAAAGTTTATTTCCCTGCATGCCATGCCTCATCCACTGAAGATTTTGGGGTTTCTTTCCCCAAGTGACAGAGCAGACTTTCCACAACTACAAAGCTGACTAGGCCAGAAAAGGACACAGCCGTATCACTTAATTTCACATGATATAACTTTGCTGGAGAACAAAGGTAAAAAGATTTTCCTGCTTCTACTTCCTTCCTCATCTAGGCTCTTCCCCCCTTCATTCCAAAGCACTACTACTCACCAGACTTCACGTTCTTCTGGATAAAACATATGTATTTCCCACTACCCTGAACTGGTATTTCAGCCTGATGTTTCACTGATCATGAATGTCACCTTGTTACACTTTCCCCCACACTTTCATTCTTCAGAAGCTCGTAATTCACAACCATTTAACACAGAGAAATGTCTTTATTTCAAAAGCAGCGATATATATGTGCAAAGTCACACAGCTGCCAACATACATGCTCACAGCTCTGCCAAGAAATAGTCATGGAAAATACAACAGGATTACCTGTGAGATTAGCTGCCATCTCTTCAGCAGTCTGACACAGCCTCAGCCCTTGTTTTAGGGGACCTTCTGAGTCCACATACTGACGGCGCTTGAGGTAGCAGGAAACTGCCATCTGAATCTGTTCTGTGCGTACGCGTTTCATGACCTCAAAAGAAAAGAAAGAGGTGATGAGACTCTTAAAGTTAAGCTTAGATCAAGTTGGACCACAGCTGTATTAATACCAATAGAAAACAAACAGCTTTGTATTTTTGTTGCAGAAGTATTAAACAGAACCTTCAGGGTTTTGTCTCTCAGYACTATGGCCTAACCAGACACTTTGTAGACCCCTCAAGATACTTTGCCGCCTAATTCTACTAATTTCATAGAGGAATCAATCATAGTTTTGAGGATTCTGAACTAAAACTGCAGTGGTGACCTGAAGTACTTTTTTAAAAAATAGCTCATAAAAAGGGAATGACTCTCCTTGAGTTTTTACAGTAGCAATTTGAGTAATCTTCAATCATTTTCTGGTTCCTCTGCTTGATAAACCAACAAAAAAAAAACTCCAGAGGCTTTAGTGGAATGAGAAATTAACATACAAAGAAGGAAACTTTGGAAATACAATGCTTTGTACAGCAAATCTATTTGGGGAGTCCAAGAAGCAATAAATAATTGGATTAACTTAAAGGTTACAGCCAGACTTATGACACTTCACTCAAGCAGGTCCCCAGAAAAAAACCCCAGGGAAATTAAAAGCAGAGCCTTCTGTSTTTGTCACCTGCTTCAATCCATCCAGGCTTCCCTCCTACAAAAGTTTAAAACAAAAAGAATCCTTAGAAGGTTTTTTTTTAATATACATTTAGGATGCCATTCTCAAACACACCACTTGGTAGTACCTCAAAATCAAAATGAGCCAAATGCTACCTTTTAGCCTCAGACTTGTAATAGAAGAACCTCAGTAAGATGWATGCAATAGCTCCTGTGCTATTTGGGTAGTCTATTACTGCACCAATCCTTCACAATAGCCATCAATTTTACACAAAAATTCAGACAGCCTAAAAGGCTTTAAATAAAGCAGAACTAAGCCACAGGGTATTTTTTTCCTATCACAATACTAGATAAAGCCTGCCTCGAGMTACTTCAACACCTTACAGTCCCACTGCCAATGACATGAACGTTTTGTGAGTGTACATGCTCCCTGGTTTGAACAGCTAAATCCAATGAAACACAACTTCTCTGAGAGACAAGGATGCCTTTCTCCCCTTGTAAGAACCATTATTTCTAACAAAATGACAGCTTTAAAAATATTATAACAAATGAATCTTTTCTAATACCCATGCACACTTTGGTGCTTATTTCATTGTTAGAATAACCCTTCTGTGAAGTTAGCTACAAGTAGATTGTGATTCAAGGCTTCAGCAATAGTTCACTTTAAACAGATACGTGGAATCGCAAACACACGTGCTAGGGTGAAAACCTTAAAAAGGTTTCTATTTGTTCCCACAGGTTAAGTAACTGTTGACAGTGGGGAARGGGCATCAACAGGTGGGAGTTTTCAAAACATTTCCAGATAGACCCATTAAAATTTAAATTTTTCAACCACACTTTTTTTTCACTCCAAAAGCAAACTTTCTTTTCATCTTCCCTGCAATTAAAAAAAATCACATCTGAGACTTACACTGTCCCAAATGTAATACTTCTGCTGCACAAAACTGTAGGAAAAACAGAACTCTAATGAAGACCACAAAGAAGAGTGGACACAAGGATGGACCAGGAACTTAGCACCCTCCTGAAAATACCCTCAGCTAAGCTTCACAATGTATTGTTACCATTCTGCATTTCAGCCAACAGCAGGGAGTCATGTGCAAGTGATTTGCCCAGGTCCACACCAAGGCATTTATGCAATTCGTCCAATTTCTTGGTCCACTATGTAGTCTTCCCTGCAGTCACTGTAGGGGATGTTACCAGCAGTATCTCAAGGASATCCTTTTTCCTACGCCCAGGTGAACAACAGGACTTACCTTAAGGACATGCGCCTTCACCAAGAAACACGCATTGGAATCAGATACACTGTYGCCCCTACTCTAATTTCAGCTCTTTGCTTCTTCGTTCAGTTTGCCCATACTTCACATTCAGGATTACAAAGAACAGTGTCACTGAGGCAGGAAAAGCGTTCATGAAAAGYGCAAGAACAAAACCAACATTCCTACAAATATTCTTTATTGAGTCCTTTATCAAAATTAAAGAATATCATAAAATAAACATAAGGATGGCCTGCCAAAATGCCTTCAGCTGGGTTCAAGCTAAGCCAATTTACAACAGGTCAGCGATGCAGAATTTAAACACAAAAGAAAGGACAAGGCTGCCATTTTTAACTTTCAATCAATTTTAAGACTTAGTTCTCATACCTGAAGATCGTCTCTAAAATATGAAACAAACTGAAAGCATATAGAGTTCCCTGTCCTGAAAGGTGCAGAGCTTGAAACAATTGTTCAGAAGCCCCAGCTGTCTCATTCTTCTCAAAGAGACAAAGAGAACAATAAATACTAATGTCATTAACTGTTTTTACTGAYAAGCAAAATACATAAGGAAAGAGAGAGGAGCCCACATTATGAGTTTTAAGAGTTACAATGCAGTATCTTCTGCAGTGCTGCAAACTGGAGCACTGAAAAAAAGGCTCAGGTAATTTTTTCTGAGGTACCAAAACCACAGAAAAAAAAAAGCAGAGCAGAGGCTAATAAACTAAAACACACTGCAAGTTTGTCCTTCCTAGAAAAGCTGGAAATTAGTTGTGAACTAAGTATTGGGCCAAGGAAATTAATTTCCCGCCTATGCCACATTTCAGGTTTAGGCAGATTCCACAGCTTGAAATAATCTCAGTACAGACATACTAAAAGAGCTTAAAAACTAGCACTGGAAACACCACTTTTTAAGATTCCGTATTCCTGTCCTGACACTGGGATAGTAGTCTCTTTCTTCCAACAGACTGAGGAGAGACCTGTGAGCATCAGGGAGCTAAGAATGAGCAATCTTAAAAAAACACCCAAACCAATAAAAACTTTAAACAGAAGCATCTTTTGAATATTGTCTAATAAGAAGTCTGCCTCAGGCCTCAGCTGTGGACAGCAAAAAATAATATATCCTTTATGGCTGCAGGTGAAATTCAGATTTGAATTCTATCAAAAATAATAGCTCCCTATCTTTAATTTTGTAATATTATGATAATCTGAGATTTACAAAACTTCAGAATAAACTTCAGAGATAATGATAAACTGATACAAAGATAACCATGAACTCAGAGTCATGGGATGTCGCACATGCAGCAGTTGCAATTCACAAAAACAGACAAGTAAATATGACAAGTTGACCTGGACAGTTAAAGAGCATGGTGCTGGTGCAAAGCAGGAAAATAGGATAGCAGGAACTACGGAGAAGGCTTTTGACTTAGCAGSGGCATTAATATGAATGGGCAGAGATGGAATAGCTCTGATTTTACAAGAACTTGAATCCATTTGTATTTGAACCTACATCTGGCGCACCATGCACGAATTACGCTTTGCCAATTCTGTATTGTTTCCCTGCGACCTCCCCTCCCCCCGCCACCCCAAGGCAGTGCCAAACAGCACTTCACCGATGTCCTCTATGGGACCTGCTGGACACGCTTTCCTCCAGCCCACTTCACACCACCCCGGCTCCAGCTCCGCCRCTCAGCCTTCCTGGGCCAAGCGGAGCTGCGGGACCAGGCACCGCTCGCTCGTGGGCCCTGCGGGAGGACAGCAGGGCCCGGAGCCCGGCGTGGCCCCTCGCCCGTCCCGGGGTTGCTCCGCGGGCCGAAGGGCGCTCGCTGAAAGGACGCGAAAGTGAAAGCCTTCTTCTGTCAACATTAAAAAGAAAAAAAAAAAGAAAAAAAAA